AAGGAAGGAAGGAAGGAAGGAAGGAAGGAAGGAAGGAAGGAAGGAAGGAAGGAAGGAAGGAAGGAAGGAAGGAAGGAAAGAAAGGGAGACAGAAGGATACCCTGAGAAACTTGGAAGGAGCAAGATATTAATAAAGCTTCTCAATATGTGAATAAGCTATGGTAAGTCCGGGCTTATAGATTTATCTATCTGCCTCCAGTTCCTCCAGCAAGAGAGAGTTTAAAAAGTACTCCATCTCTGTTTTAAGTAATTACAGTTCCATGAACCTGAATTCATAGTTGAATTCTAATTTGTTTCTTATTAACATAGTTTAAAGATACTAACTAGGGATTAAATACATCACAGTTCTCCATTATGTCCAAAGTACAGTTCCTTAAGATTGGATATTGTAGATTATTTTAACAATATTTTAGAACAAAAATGTTTCTAGTCTCTTGTGTGTAAAAGAAGATTAGATGGAAATAACCCCACATTTGCTTAGGCTTATTTACATAGCAGGAAAACGTGGCTACATGCCATATTGTAGTTTTTATACAATGGCATATCTCTGCAGTTTCTGGATACTTTCTTATTATATTTTTTACTTTTCCAGAAGTCTGCCTTTTAAGGCATAAGCCAAACAATTGCTGGCTTAAAATGGATTTAAGAAGAATGGTAAGATCATGGAAACCTAATACCAACCTTGCACTGTAGGACTTGATGGATGAGTTCACACAACTCCCTAAGTCAAAACCAAACAAAATCCCAGTATAATTTAGCATATTCTGCAGACCTGCTCACTGGGTTTGTTAAGAATGGATTATGTACAAAGTAGTTGCACATTGTAAAAACCCAATCAATTGATGCTCCTACAAACCATGATTCAGTAAGCCAAACACTATTTGATGAATCCCTTTGATACAGAAATATTACAGAGTTAAAGTCGTCACAATCTTATAATGAACTCAAGATACAAATATTTGTGGTTAGGTTTCCCAGCTTGAAAGTGCAATAGTTGGGGATTTCTATGAACGAAAAGAAGTGAAATTTAGGAATCCAGCTAAAGAAAATCCAAGTAACTAATTTTGGCTACTCAAATTTGAAGGTCCTAGAGATTTAGTCTAAGCTATGGTTCATTTTCTCTTGTAGCAGGGTTCAAAATTGTTTCCATTTTCTTCTCCTCAAACTGCTTTTTGTTCAGAATGGTTGTAAGAGTCACCTTGCAGTGAGATGGTTAGAAAACAAATTTAATAAATAAAATAATAATACATCACAAACTTGCAAATGACTTAGGATAGAGATTTCTTTTAGTTCCATAATGTGGTTTTATTGTTAAATTAAATGTCTTCATTTTCTTTATTTGTAAATTCTCATTACTTATGAGAATATCTTCTAGTCTACAATATTTGAGCATAGATTGATAAATGACTAGCTGTTTAACTTCTGGCAGGAAAGCTCTGAAGAGATGGTTTAAATGACTGGTAAAGTTTCATTTAAATATTTTAGTTGCTTTTTTTTAAATGCACCCAAAGAAGTTCCAATTTTTCCCCACAATATACAATTATTCTTATAAAGGAACATGGCAAAATACAGAGAGGGGAGGGAGGGAGGGAGGCACCACACAAATAGGGCTAGAAAAAGAAAACTCTTGCACAATTTGAGTGTGGATTAATTAAGAGAGACAAGTGAAATAAAACAGTAATAAAATAAACACACAGGGAGAACTTTATTTTAGTCTTCTGCAACCTTGGTGCCTTCCTATTGAATTGGGACTGCAATATAATATCCTTCATTAGGATAAAAATAATACAATTTCTTGCATAGATTGCAGTTCTAAAACAATTGAAGATTCCAGAGTTTAATAGAGGAAAAAGATGAAATTCCATTTTATTCAGTCTAGGAAAATATAAATTTAATAAAGCACTACAATGTTTTAAGGTAGAAAAGAATGAAAGCTTATATTTACTTAATATCAAACTGCAAGCCTACCTAGTCCAGTGTTGATCTAGCCCAGTGTTTCTCAACCTTGTCAACTTGAAGATGTCTGGACTTCAACTCCCACAATTCCCCAGCCAACATTCGCTGGCTGGGGAATTCTGGGAGTTGAAGTCCAGACATCTTCAAGTTGACAAGGTTGAGAAACACTGATCTAGCCAATAGTCCAGATTCTAATTCAAGAGAATTGTTATCAGATAGAAGGCGCTAATTCAAGGAAGCCTGGCATAGCATGTGACTGGCATTGTACAGGTCAAGCACAAGCTTGTGTGATCTGTGTCTGATTGCACCGATTGCAATTTTCAAGGGGACTATATAACCTTTTGCTTCCCCCCCCCCCCCCCAAATCAATGAATGAAGCTAATTAAATAGGGAAATGAGAAATACCGCAAGTGATAACATCAAATTATATGGATAGCCACAAATAAATCTAAAGTTGCAGTTTAATAAACCTTGATGTCAGAGATTGATAATTGAAGTGAAGGTGACTTTCTGTTCAGCAAATATGCCAGAACCGCGTAATGCAAAATGGTTGCAGCATCTCAGAGAAAAAAAATGGGTTATAGCAGCCTTTAAAATGCTAGTATAGGGAAACACTAGAGCAGTGAACTTGACCACTTTTAAGATGTGTGGACTTCATCCCTCTGGGAGTTGGAGTCCACACAACTTAAAATTGCCAAGTTCGAAAAAACTATGTGCCAGTCTTTCAACAGTGTCAGAGGGGATGGAGATCACCAGATACAAGAGTATATTCTCTTAAATTTTAAAGGTAGGGGTGTGTGGGTGAGGATGTGTGTATGTTCTGTTTTCTGATACTATTAATATTAAATCTGAGTGCTGGTATGTAATGCATGAGCCATTTGCATAAGAAGTGAGGGAGTGATAAACCGCCTAGTCACCTAGATTTTATCAAAAATATATCATCAATTCATAAGAAATGGGTTCGGTTTCATAAATCTGTCATTTCCCCACATTTAAAACATTCCAAACCTAATTTTTTTTTCATATTTGCCCAAGATACTAGTTAATAAAAGAGCATTACTTTTGCTCATTATTTTTCCTTCACAGTCAAACATAGCCATACCTCAAAATCTGTCTTGATAGGTGAAATGATTTAGTAACGTGAAGGGAAATTAAAAACTCATGCCCCTCTTCAGTCAAATGAAATTTCAAACAAGACCAGTGTTACTAAATTGTGCTTCTGCTTGCTAAAGAGTTCATTCAAAATTTGGGGGCCAATGGCATAATATAAGAGGATATGTATTTTTTTCCTTATGCCTCATTTTGGTTTTATATATTGAAGAATTCAGTCATACTACTTGCTGTTCTAAATTTTAGTCATGGTTTGAAGGAAAGAAAAAAAACCCTCTGCATATTGTATTATGAATAGCATTTTATTATCTGTGACAGCAGTACAAATTTATTAAATCTCCATCTAGAATACATTTATGCAAATTCCTTTTGTTTCCGTAAAATGACATTTCCATGTTTTAGTATTAATCAGGGGTCCATGTTGGACATAGTATGGAAAGTAAGGCTAAATGCAGAAAGTCAGTAAGAAAAGCTTTGCCACCAGCTCCCAAAATGTGAAGTATCAGTGCTGAGGATTATATCCTGTGTCCTTCAGTAAGACTGTTCCCTTTTACATTTTACATTCATGCCAATTTAAGGGACATTGTAACCTATTTTGCTCCATAATTCTGTGTCAGGCTTGTGTACACTTGCCATTATGCAAGTCTCCATCTTTTCTGGAGACAAAATATTACACCATTTCATGAGGTTGTTGTATCTCCCAGGTCTCTTGATTTTATTTGGTTTCTGCTTAGGCAGAAACAAATTGTATTGAGCCACCTGTGCAGTTCCTAATCTGTGTTCCCTAAGTGTGTGGGAATCTTGATTGTACAATTTCTTAAACAGCTGTGCATCATAGTCATC